CCTCAAACATGAATTTTGAAATCATTGAATGGTTTAAAAAGTTGCTAAATATGTCTAATTTGTCAAGCACATAAACTCATAGCTCATGTTTTTAAAGCATACAGCGCTTTCGAAATCTGAGGCGTTGTAACAGAACAATTGTGAAAGTGTCATCAAGTAACATGAAATTCGCAATATACTATATTTTTGGCAAAAGAAGTTCATTTTTTGTGATTTTTGTTAATGCATTTAGATATTTATTAAACATTGGTGTCTTCTATCACATTGCTTTTGCTGCAGTTTTATGAAATAAGCCACTCAAAGAAGTGCATTACTGTTTTTACCATGGTTACATGGGTTTAAACACTACAAACGCCCCTTAACCATGATGAATTCAGAGTGAAGCATTGGTTTACTGCATAAAATTCACTCCTTTCATCTGCTATAAGTCTGTAGCTCAGCATCGGTGTAGTCAGATCATATGAAACCATATGGCCACAGTAACATAATGGACTGACCATTAACCCCAGTTCCTCACAAATAAATCCCTGCAAGCCCTTATCCTGTTTTGCCTGCCGGTCTAGTGCTATTGTGTTTTGTGTGGGTCAGAATCTGTGCAGGAATTCATCCTGTAAGCTCTGGAGCAAAGTAAGAGTGCACGAGTTGATTGACGAGTAAACCAGTGTCTGATAACTACTGCAGCTGTCTGGCCTGGGCCAAGACGTACTTATGAATGCTGACCCAAGAGCCGTGACCTCAGACAACTGCAGGTGGTTGGTTTACAACCTCATGGGAAAAAAACTATGAAATCCATACTGCCATGCTTGTGTGGCTTCATTTGATAGCTTAATTTTGTTTTCCTGAAATACCTTGTTTGTAACTAGGTTTCATCATACCAGATTACAAAGACTTAGCTTTTGTTCTTTGCATGGGACAGATTTGAAAAGTTCTGAGTCATGCACTGAACAAAATATTAGATGGCACATATTAATCCATCTCAGCAGTCCAGAGCTCAACGGTGTATTAATAGCTGTCTGTAATCTGGAGTGTTCACTGTAGTGCTCCGTACCCTCAGATCCACATCTCCATTCTCTATCTCACAGGAAATGCTATCTGATCTAGAGGGCAGGTGGGCCATAGACAGGGAAACAGCTGGAGGTGCAGGATATCTGTGTGTGTGTGTGTGTGTGTGTGTGTGTTTGTGTGCGTGTGCATGAACCACAAAGCCTTATATTGTGGCTTAATTTTGTTCGGTTTATGCACGCTTATGTGAAGTTATGAATGCATCATGTTTTTACAGTTTGCTTAAGTGGAGTTTTGATGATGATTATTAGGGATGCACAATATATCAGTGACCATATTGCCAACATTATCATTTTTTATATCAGTATTGGTCTGGATAAGAAACAAATGTTATCAAGACTTATTTTTTTCCCCCTGTTTTTTTCTATACCATATTTTAAGCTAAACAATTATTCATCTTCTCTATTGTAAGTTGTAATATTCTAATGCCTGATTTTACTTGTAAAATGCTTATACAGAAACAAAAATAAGCTTAAATTGGGCTTTAGAATTGAACACATTTTTTGAATGGATAAACTCAAAATATCATATCATATCAGTTATGATATAAAAAAAAATATTTATATATATGGTATAAAATATTAAATATTGGGATTTTATATTGATGATTCTATATTGTGCATCTCTGTTATTTATCGTTCATCAGTCAAAAAAGTATTCTTATTACACGACGCTCTGGAATACTTGATTCTGATTGAACCATCGCTATAAGTGACCCACTCATTTTGAGTTGCAATGAAGCATTTGCGGAGATTCGATTCTAAGAGGAAAAAAAACTTGTTTTATGATATTTTTAAGGAACAAAGTTTCAGCTTTCAAATTATATGAATTGCTTGGTAACACTTTGCAATAATTTTACATTTGTCAACAATAGTTACCAAGAACTAACAATTCAAATAATTCTAAAGCATTTCTTATTCTTAATGTTAATTTTGACATTTACTAATACATTAATAAAATTAAATGTTGTATTTGTGCATAAAACTTAAAATATTTTCCTTGTCAAAGCAGCTCAAATTGATAGAGCTGGTCTTATAGTAATAATTTCAACTCAAATCAATATTTCATGTCCATTTATTTATTTATTTATTTATTTATTTATT